AACAACGCCAAGACAAGACAGATGGGTAAGGGTGACGGGATCAGACCACGACGTCCCGCCATACGGCCTATCCTGGCACAACGTCATCGACAAGCTCGCCGAATGTGGTGCCGAAATCATGTCCGCAGACCCTTTTTTGGGTGGAGAAATGTTGTTTTTACAGATGAGTCTAGGTTTAACATTTACCATAGTGATGGAAGTCAACGTGCCTATAGACGCGTGGGAGAACGTTATGCACAGGCCTGTGTCTTGGAGAGGAATCGCTTTGGTGGTGGTTCCTTGATGATTTGGGGTGGAATAACAGCACGCCAAAGAACTCCTTTGGTGATTGTTCAGGGCAACTTAACTGGTGTGGGCTACAGGGATCAGATTCTTCGACCTGTGGCAATTCCTTTTCTGCAACGTCATGGCCCTGGGTTAACATTCCAACAGGACAATGCCCGCCCACATACGGCAAGGGTTGCAATGGATATCTTGCAACACCACAACGTTGACTTAGTGCCTTGGCCTGCAAATTCACCGGATCTCTCCCGATAGAGCATGTTTGGGACGAGATGGATCGACGTCTACGCCGTCTTCTCATCTGCCAGATAACGTCCTTGACCTTGCAACAGAACTTGAGAGAATCTGGCGTGACATCACACAAGCCTTCCTTGCACGTTTGATAGGCCCTATGCGTCGTCGATGCACTGCTGTTCTCAATGCCGATGGTGGAAATACCCGTGACGTCATTGTGATTGACTTTTCAATTGAAATTCTCCCGACTTGTTATGGTCTCATGATCCCTCCATTAAAGTTTATATGTACCTTTGACATTCTTATCGTACTTATCAACTGGGATAATATTTTGACAATGCACAGTTTCTTTATTTGACTAGTATATGTATAATATTTCTTAAAGTTAAACATCATCATGGCACGATCGCGTAGCACACAAACATGTCTAGCTCTATGTATTTATCTATCGATTTGTGGTGTTTGTGTGAACAATCAGAAACGATTAGCATGTACCGTTTTGTGAAAAAAATCACAAAAACATGAGCACTACGCCCGGCCTGTTGGTTACCCGATCTGGTCCAGAGAAACAAAGTCTGTGTTGGCGATCGAGATAGTCCCATACGTGTTCGATTAGGTTCATATCCGGTGAATATGCCGCCCATGGTAAAACCTGAATGTTGGCGTTGGCGAGGAAGTTCTGAGTCAGCTATGCCGTATGTGGCCTCGCATTATCGTGCTAGAAAAAGATTCCACGAGGCTGTTGTTGGATGAATTACTCAACAACTTGTTGTAATATACACACCAGCATTGAAAACGCACCACTTACACAAGTTGAGATAACTAATAGCACGTGTAAGCAATTGATTGTTTTTTAGTGGATAATAACAGGTGAACGACTGACAAACAACACAGAAAAAAACGCCCATTCATTTAATTGTTTCACGGTCAGAAAGGATCAAACACATGCGGGGTCAAATCGGAAAGTCAGTATTGCGTGTGACCGCCATTTGCACTAACACATGCAGTGCAACGTCTCCTCACTGAGTCACCAATCGTCAGAATAGTGTTTTGGGGGGATGGCATCCTACTCCTTCAGAAGTGCAGCCTCAAGTTCCTTGATGTTACGCATCTGTTGTCGCCGCGAAAGACGTTGACCAATTTCGTCTCACTAGCGCTTAATAGAGGATAAATATGGTGACAGTGCTGGCCAATGAATTACCGGGATGTGTTGCTGGGCCATATATTGCATGGAAAGTCTATCTGTGTGTGCCCATGCGTTGTCCTGTTGAAAAGTATGGACATCTTGGTGGTGATTGAAGAATGGCAAGGCGTGATTCTGAAGAATCTGGTCACGGTAGTAAAGGGCATTAACTCTCCCTTGACAGACATGAAGGCAGTCCTGTGATTGTAACTTATTCCACCCCAGACCATGATACTCTCACCATCCCATTGTATACGCTCATTACGATGTCTGTCAGTCAGAATTGGTCCAAAGTAATAACATCGAGCATGGAGCCCGGCAGTGGTTTAAGAAGACATACTTGAGCGTTTCATATGTTCCAAAACAAACGTAAAAATCCGGGAACATTTGATCAATGGAGAAAAGCGCACACTTTGCCAAAATGATGTTACGTCTCTGTCCTCGTTTCACAATCGTTAGTGAAGAAATTAGGTTACTTCTTCTTGACAAAGTTGACATGATACGACAAAATCTCTATGATGATATCACAGTGTCCCCAGACGTCATGTATAACAGTGATCAGTACAGTATGCATCCCCTGACTGATCTCGCTTTATTCACGAACGCAGAGATACGTGAGGTTATTAGTTCATCAAAGCCCACTACCTGTGCCATGGACCCGGTGCCAACCAAGATTGTTCTTAAGCATTTGGATGTACTTCTTCCATGTATCACAAGCATCGTGAACAAGAGTCTTGAATGTGGATCATTTCCTGAGATTTTCAGAACTGCTCTTGTCAAGCCTCTCCTCAAGAAGGACAACCTAGATGCATCAAACTTGAAAAACTTCAGACCCGTCTCAAACCTGGCATTCCTGTCTAAAATCATTGAAAAGGCTTTTCATATTCGTCTCAAATGTCACCTTGCAAATAATTCTCTTCTAGAAAAGTTCCAGTCAGCTTACCGCAAGTTCAATAATACTGACACAGCCTTGCTAAGTGTCATCAATGACATTCGCCGTGCAGTTGATCATGGCAACATTGCAGCCCTTGTGCTGCTTGTCTTTAGCTTTCGATACGATCGATAACAACCTTCTTCTAGACAGACTCCAGCATCAGTATGGTATCGACGGGACTGCGCTGTAATGATTGGAAATGACAAGTCATCCACTGTTAACTTGCAGTATGGTGTCCCGCAAGGATCTGTTCTAGGTCCAGTGCTATTCGTCCTATACTGTGGCAGTACTTCAAACATCATCTCACAGCACCGTCTCCTTCATCACTCCTATGCTGATGACTGTCAATTGTACAACCAATTTCGTCCTCAGAACTCACCTGAAGCTCTCCTTGATATAGCCGACTGCACCAAGTCCTTGAAATCTTGGATGACCACAAACAAACACAAACTGAACAGCGATAAAGCTGAAGCGATCCTTTTCGGAACAAAGCAGCAGCTCCAAAAGGTGGACATACACACCATTAATGTTTCAGACACGGAATTTCAGTTCAAAGATCTTGGTGTCCTGGTGGACCCAACGCTTTCCACGGAAGCTCAGATTAATAACGTCTTTAAGACTTGCTACTGGAATCTGCGAGTGATGTGGAACTTTCTTCCCCAAGATCTTAAACTTTCTTCAACGTTTGATTCATTCTTTTCCGCCACAAACCGAAACATGAGTCTCATTAACCTACTAGTATTCAGACCCATGTGCTTGCCATAAAAAGGCGACTATCTTGTCGTAAGAGGCGACTAACGGGATCGGGTGGTCAGTTTCGCTGACTTGGTTGACACATGTCATCGGTTCCCAATTGCGCAGATCGATGCTCATGCTGTTGATCACTGGATTGTCTGGTCCAGACTCGATTATTTACAGACCGCCGCCATATAGCTGGAATATTGCTGAGTGCGGCGTAAAACTAAACTCACTCACTCACTCACTAGTATTCAGACAATGACCTACTTTTCAGCCGATCCGAATTTTCTCGTGTGAAAGAGAAAATAGACATCACAAACAAATATGGCTACACTGAATTCCAATTCCTTGTTTCATAAGAAAATGGTATTATAATGAATTTTAATTTTAAAGTTTAATAGCATCGTATTTCTATATTTTATGGCGAGGTGTAGGCAGCATGACCTTAACAAAGACGTCACAGACCGACCCTGTTTGATGAGGTCATAAAATGATTCACAATGCATCTGGTCCACTGGTTACACCTGGTATGTGTATTTTAGCACTTATTCAGTGTAGTTCTGGAACGCACAATGTGATTGATATAATATCAAGTCCGTACCAGACCGCCAAACGTTTCTAGCGGCAGAGCCTCGTTTTGAGATTTCCTGGTTTCCGTTTATCAGAGCACGTTGTACGACGTGTTTGCAAGGATTAGAAGGGACGTAGTGCTGCGATATACAAGTGCTTAGATGTATCAAATAATACTGATTAATATTTATGTATCCAGTTAAATGAATTGGTCTCAAAATTCTGGACTGGTTATTGTACTAAGTTGCGCAATAGGACGGAACCCAGTCAACTGGAAACGCGACTGTTGTGTAATCAATGTGTTGACTTGTTCTATGAATCATACTAACTCTGTCATCATTCCTTCCTATGTACTTTTGATTGTTGAGCCTTGAGCATGCTGCTAGCGTGGAAATGAGCGCTATTATTACAGTCAGCATAACTTCAGAACGAAATTCATTTTTTGTTCATGGCATGGATGCATGTTGTTGTGTTTTGGAGTTAAGATTCATATTGTGAACAGGAACTCGTTTCTAAAACATTTGTTTTCAACTGGACATGCCCTGTGACTTCATGTTAGTCATATTCATTGACACTTGTCATGCAGAAATCCATCTTGATGAAAATATGGACAATTCTAGACTGGTGCGTTTTCAATGCTGGAGATTGTATTTCATCTCGATAACGCTGTGTATTTAGGTTTCCTCGAATAACGGCGAGCCTCGTTTTGGCGTCAACCCAGATTCCACCCCAAACCATGAAACCCCCGCCTCCGAATGGTCGGACTTGATGAATGCAATTCTGTGCCAAACGTGCACCAAGTCTTCGGTACACACTCTGACCGTCGTTCCTGAAGCTGCAGAATCTGTTCCGTGCCCAGTCTCGACAGTGGTCTCCCCCTCTCTCTTGTCCAACGTGTTTAGGGGCGGTAGGGTTGCCCAGTGGTTAAAGCGTTCGCTCGTCACGCCGAAGGCCCGGGTTCGATTCCCCAAATGGGTACAATGTGTGAAACCCATTTCTGGTGTCCCCCGTCGTGATTTTGCTGGAATACTGCTAAAAGAGGCGTAAAACCATACTCACTCACTCCAACGTTGACGGTTATGCGCGCACACCTATCCTTCTGGCGATGTCGGTCCACGTTGCTTCCTGTTGACCCATTCCAACGATCGACTCTCTCCCTCATCGTTGTCAACGTGGCATTTTTTGTGTGTGCTTTTTGTTGCTGTGATCCCAACGTGTCGAGTCAGCAGTTTTATACAGTTGAACTGCACGTGCATTTCGTGCTACGGGACGTAACATCATTTTGGCAAAGTGTGCGCTTTTCTCCATTGATCAAATGTTCCCGGATTTTTACGTTTGTTTTGGAACATATGAAACGCTCAAGTATGTCTTCTTAAACCACTAGGGGAAGTTATGTCCATTGTTCTTGGAAGTGTTTTATTAGCATAACTGATTAACAGCCCTAGGGCAATTATTTCTAATTAGAAACAATAAAATTGTACATATTTTGATAATCTTCATCATGCCTAATCCATTAGCGTATTACATAAGTATGCCCTCGTGGTGTAAGCCGTTTATTCACCCTCACTGCTGGGTTCTAAAGCCATCGCATAGTTTATATAAATAAGTACCTTGTAATTATGATTAACTTATACATACTAAAAGGAATACTTAATTAAAAATATATTTTAAAATGTTTCATATCGTTTCTTTTGGACATCGGTTTATATTCAGGGACTAAGCGTTAGTCTTGGCGGATTGTTATGCATAAGGTCATGAGTGAGTGAGTGAGTTATTTTTTACGCCGCACTCAGCAATATTCCAGCTATATGGCGGGCATAAGGTCATGACTGACCAAGGATCGGTCATGGCAGTTTAATCCCAATATGAAACACAAAATGCTGATGCCTTTGAACTGAACACAAATTATTACATTTAGATGGATGATGCGTCGCAATAAATTGTTCCCATGAATTTCGTCAATACGTCGGTTTTGCGTATATGAACGGCGCCGAATAACACAGATGCAGACGTGTGGAGGTAATTAATAATATAGTACTTACAGTTATCGGGCAATGGCGAAATCTGTGGAAAATTAATATGAACGATCCCTCGAGTTGATATGAGCTGTCGTTTTGTCGGCACATACAGCACGGCCTGGAGTAATTGTGTAGTTATTCAGCAATCGGACAACAGCTGTCTGGTATTGATCTCTGTAGGTAGACTATTCCCCTTCTGGCATTAGCAGGATTCATGCGTGATGATAGTACAATTTAGCTCTTGTACTTTGTTCCACAATTCAGTTAATTAAGGTCGGAAACTGCTGTCTCCCTGCAGTTCGTGTATATACAGTATTGCAGCAGGATTATTGTAGTATTTATGAATTCTACAAGTGCACATTTTTGTCTGTCAGTATGTCTGTATGGTTATTGGGGACCGCACCCATCAACGTTGGAGCAATGTGCCGGCGGTCTGTAAACAAATCGATCCCGTGATTGACATTAAGAGCATCGATCCAACTGGGACACGATGTTCTAATAGGTGATCTGCGCATTTGCAGTTAAACCAGCATTTTGTTATTGATTTTAGTGCAGTGAGACCATATGGACATTGTCTATATGGACTTTTGGAAAGGACAATATTATTCTGTGTGTGTCGCGTTGCCAGCATGATCTAAAACTGGGTTGGCCGGTAAAAAAATATAACAGAATGAAAATGCTTGATTTGTTCATATCTACATGAAAAAAGTAGACACAAATATCTGTAACTTTGATTCTTTAGTTTGATGTTTTAGCTGGCCTGTCTAGGAGTGCCTGTGGAAATCTGCATCTTGAAAAGAAGAAAAAACTTAGGATTAATATAAAAAAACCCGCTTTTTTAGAAAAGAGTCGGTCGGGCGATGACAACATAGAGATAACTTATTTCCGTGAATCGTTGTTTAATTACTTCTAATTATATTTGGCCACGTTGTTGTTTTTCTATTATGTGTTTATTGAAACAATTAAAACATCGCAAACAAATATCAAATCTCAGATATCAGGACCCATTGCATAGTGGATGTCAATAGTTAATGAAACGTCCCACTTTGAAACGGAGTTACGTCCCTTCGATCGGAGCGGTTTGCAGAAAGTATATTTCTTTAAAATGACTCGACTAGATTAACTAATGTTCCCACAAACAATTACTGTGTAAAAGTTCTGATTCGAAAGCTTCTCACCCTTTTGCACTTGCATATTTTGTGACTTTCGGATGATTTATCTTTTATGACCTTGACCTTGATATGTCATATGACCTCTGACCCAATATGTCACCATGTGAAGATGTAGGACAGGTGTATTCACGGAGTGTTTTTAAATAACGACGACCATTCACGATGTGTGGTTCTATTACCCTGGACTAATTATGTCGACAGCAGTAGTTTTGGGTGGGGGAGTCAGCGGACTAGCGGCGGCGTACTATCTACAGAGGCAGACAGCCGCAAAATTTGCTAAGGTATGGAATAATCACCAATATCCCACGGCCTGGAGACGTGATAACTCGCACGACAAGCACATATACTTCAGTTATTGTCCCATATCATCATTAATAATAGGATTTGTCTCCGATAGTTTGAGTCAGGGGATCATGTCATATGGCTGTTAAATTACGTAACTGACAGAACGTCACACAGGAAAACGACACCTCTGTTATTATTTTCGTGTGTGTGTGTGTGTGTCACTGTGTCTGTGTCCATGTATGTGTGAGTGAGAGAGATATTACAGAATTTACGAAATATCACCATGATCACATGGAAACATTCATGTTTGATCATTCAGTTCTGCAAGTTCAATGTCTCATCAAATGTATTAACTACACAACTTTCCAGGTTCATGTCATGTCATGTTATGTTATGAAATGGTGATTGTTGCAATGCGTAAAGAAATTGCCGAAATTGGTAATCTGACAAATTATGCTAATGGCAAAATTTATAAATTTGTGCATATTATCCCTGTATTGAATAATATGTATTGGAGAAGTAAGGAAGTGTAAATGACGTGTAATCGATGAAACAATCTTTGAGTCTCTCTCATTGTCAGATGGAATGTATATATGATCATTAATTTGTTGAAAAGTTGCTGTAAGATAGTGAAGTTCCACTGTATTAATATATATAAAGCTCCACTGGGATTAATCGTGTTAATCATCTCTATCTAGTTTCAGTTTGTATTTTATCAATCTGTGTAAAGTGTGTATCAGGCCAATTTATGACCTCCCATTCACCGTGTCAAATACAGGGACACAGTGCCAGATTGTGGACAGTTTTCACATCAGGGATGATAGAGTGTCAAAATATAGGTAGTTATTACAAGCCAGTCACAGGAACCTCAAATGATATAGGTGATAGGGTAAATATTTAGTCCAGACTGTTTTTGTTTAATGATTTATAGATTTTTGAAAACAATATAGCTTGGGTCAGTCATACATAAATATTTATGCAAATATGTTTGTGCAGCTCAATGTACATTTTGGTTGGCATAAAGTTTGCTGAAAACAAATATCTGTACGGTGTGAAACACACGTTCCATAATTCTACATTGTTCTCTTTGGCAGAATGACCAGAATCTATACAATGCATTTGATAAATTAATTTAAAAATTGTTTTATTCAAACCTGTAATTGTTGCAAATTTTCTTTTTCAGATATCGATAACTGATTTTATTTTTTAAGTTTATTATTTTGCATGATTTGTTGCTTATTTTCTGTCACACAGATGAACAATCTTAACAGAAAAATGTGAAAAATCACCTTAAATTGTCACCTCATAGATGTAGGCAGTTCTCTGATGGTGCAGGTCCCTCTTGAGTATTATTCTCAGTCTGTCAGCATCTACTCCTCATCTAGCTGCAGGACCAACTTGGGCGGTGGGGTAACCTAATTGTTAAAGCGTTGACTCGTCACGCCGATGACCCAGGTTCGAATCCCCATATAGGCACAATGTGTGAAGCCCATTTCTGGTGTCCCCCGCCGTGATGTTGCTGGATTATTGCTAAAAGCGGCGTAAAAACCAAACTCAGTCAGTCAGGCAGTCAGGACCAACTCGTTAGTCTAGTGGATAGAGCATCTACCCACAGAGTGGTAGGTCCATGGTTGAATCTCCTGGCCCTACCTAATAATGTAAAATGATGAAATAAGGTACTTATTATTACCCTGCCTTGTGTTTGACGTTGAGGGGAGAGAACAAGGACTGGGTGGCTTGGTAAACACATTCAGTAAACAAACACTGTATATCGCTCATAGTTTAATATGTTTCTCCCTTCTAAACTATTCTAAAATTGAAATTACGAATTTAGTTTAGTGAGTGATGGATTGAGTGAGTGAGTTACTGTGAGCTTTTAGCAATATACCAGTAATATCGCAGCGGGGGACAATAAAATGGGCTGGGTTTCACACATTGTACCCATCTTGGGCGTGAAGAGGGAATGCTTCGACCACTAGGCTACTACACCTATGGAATACTGCTAACTGGATCGGGATTGGGTGGTCAGGCTCGCTGACTTGGTTGACCCATGTCATCGGTTCCCACTTACGCAGATCGATGCTCATGCTGTTGATCACTGGATTGTCTAGTCCAGACTTGATTATTTACAAACCGCCGCCATATAGCTGGAATATTGCTGGGTGCAGCGTAAAACTAAACTCACTCACTCACGCCAATTTGATTTGCATATTTTCATATTCTAAACTGGTTTTGATCCAATTAAAATGTAGATCTTCTACAATTATGGTTCCACTACAATACAGTTCCACTTCCCCTATCTCAACACACATGCATGAACGCATGCACACATGCACACACACACAATGCTGCCACTGTTTAATGGGTCAAAAGAACATTTTTCTAGGAAATGGTGATCATTTTCAGTCAAGGTTTCGACAACGTAATAACTGCATGTCAAACTGAGACATTTAGGGGGAATGTTATCATCACCTGCATGATTGGTTTGTATCACCAATGCATTGTAGGAGAAAAGTGAGTTATCTCCCTTGTCCAACTCTGTTCTCAGGTCTCGTTTCAGGCATATAGTAACATTGGAGTAAAACGGAGCAGTGAGCGTTGAGTCAGTTTAATCAAATGTCCTGTCTACTGGCCTGAGTCTAGTGTATCCTTTCTCTCCAGCCCACCGAATTACTCATTTTATTCAACTGATAAATTGACAGATGCAGTGCCTTCGTTTCCAGATTATTCTACTGGAGGCGTCGGACCGTCTCGGAGGCTGGGTGAGGTCAACGCGGTACGACAATGGAGCAGTGTTCGAGCATGGTCCCCGCAGTCTACGGCCGGTGGGAGATTCAGGAATCAACTCACTCATGCTGGTGATGATTTGTTCAAGACCTGTTAAATTACTGTTTTGAAAGTTGAAATCCAAATATTAGTAGACTGCATGACTATTAAAGTGCAGGATGTGGTAAATATTATATGACACTCAATTCACATTCAGGAAATTTGTAATATTTGTCGAAAGTATGTGGTCTCGTCAGTTGGTGACATGACTGTATGGTTATACAGGCACTGTTGGTAAGTCTGATGTCCTACACATTTCCCCTGTGTGTATGATGTATCCCAATCATATGTTTCAAACACTAGTTGGGAGAGATGCACATGGTTGATGTGGTCACTCTATAATGTGTTTTTCTATCCTGGCAGGCAGAAGAACTGGGGCTGTCCAATCAAATTCTTCCATGTCTTTCCACCAGCGCTGCAGCTAAAAACAGATTCCTGTTTATTGATGGTCAGATTCATGCCCTACCTAACAGTGAGTTATGATTAATAAAGGAATGAGAGTGGGGTGTCACCAAAAAACAAAAAAAGCGCTTAAAATTATATTCGTTTCACTGTATCGGTATACATAGCATATGTCTTAATCCTTCATTTGCCTTGATTTAAGTTCTAGGTATTTCACCTAACGAGTACATTTTGAATGCCTACTTCAGTTTTCCGTACTCTCACATGCTCTTGAAACCACATATTATTGAAACCACATATTATTGAAACCACATATTATTGAAACCAAATTCTTTCACTTTACTCTCATGTGCAGGTCTAAAGTCCATCTTGAGGACACAAGCACCCTTCACCAAGCCGATGATCTTGAGTGGTCTGAAAGAACTCCTTACAAAGAAGGGAGATAACTCTGACGAAACTGTTCATGCTTTTGTAGCCAGAAGATTTGGGGCGGAGGTGAGTGCATTGATATAAAGCAATATCTTTTCCAAAAAGACCCCAAATCATGAACAAACTTACATCCCCAACTGCTTTATGCAGACAGATTACTGAAAACACAGACTCAAGGAACACCCCAGTTCTTTCACATATTTGTGTTGCAGCTTGCCGACTATGCTGTTGACCCGATGTGCCGTGGGATATTTGCTGGAAACTGCCGGAACCTGAGCGTGGACGCATGCTTCCCGATGCTGACCAACATGGAACGAGACCACGGGTCGGTCATCAAGGGCATGTTGACGCCAAAAAGTAAGAGTCGTTGGTGAATGTAGAGTTGATATATATTGACTACACTGTGTTATAAAACATTGTATTAGTGAGAGAGTATTTAGCTAGGACGTAGGATGAGTACTTTATCAGGATATAAACACACCGGATCCCCACAGGGAGACAAACATGGAGTACTTGGGAACTATTTCTACTGGATCCCCTCCAGTCTGTTTCTCAGTCCCTGAACTGCATTATTTCCCTTCAAAGGCTAACCATACACCAGGTTCTCATTATTCAGCTCTAAAGAATGTTAGACACTAGTGCCAGCTAGGCGAATTGCAGTCTGTCTCAGAGTCCATGAACCACATTGTTTAAACTGCTGACTAGCCCTCCCTGCAATGGTAAAGCCCTAAATGAAGCAAGTCTAGACTTCTTCAGGTTCAGGTCTCCTTTTCAGTTTACTGGTTTCTGTGCTATTCAGAGACTAAGTGTTACTCTCGATCCACACAGGATAAATGTGTCTTTGACAACAGAGATAGCGCCGACATTACATTAAAAGTTGATCACTGGTCTCGAGCAGGAGATGGGTTGATGTACCTGTAACGGGAATGGCTCCGACTCAACAACACAACTCCGTTGAGGCTGTAGTCCGGATTTATTACGGTAGTTTGTATAAAGAATTCAAGTCTGAAACAATGTATATGAATATACAACACTCCATCAAAATACCTATTTTATCACATTCATTTCATTGCACATTGTTCAGATAATTAACAATCACAGCTCTGCCACTGAACACATAAAAAGAACTCAAGACAAATTGACATCACAAAGTCAATGGTTCAGTTTCATATTAAGAACCTTAGGAATTATGGAACACATTTGGCATCTTCAAAACAATGAAACATCAACGTGTCTTACCATCTATGGGACAACTTGCTTCAAACTGGCCACAAGTTGTGAGGCACCAACAAAACACCAAGAACCTAAAATATGTATGTTTTAATTAGCATGGAAATGCTAATTCTCACCAGTAAAGTAAACGTACAATCTGTTTGGACTCAAACATTAATCTGAATCAATTGTAAGTGAAATTATTGACACCAACAATTCTCTAACCATAGGTCAAAATATACCTCCACCAAATGCATAAATTCAGTTACAATAAATACTAAATAAACCTTTCAACAATTAAACATATTTTTGTAGTTTATTCCTTTTATATAAAACCAAGTGTAACTAACCTGTAATTCACCAAAGTCAAAATCCTCCGTCCATGACTTTCAAACCACCTTGCCAGGTTGGGAGAAAGACAGCAAGTGAACAAACTTCACACTTTCCAAATGCAACTAAATTCAACATCCAATCAAGATGCTGCACATCTTCAGCCAATAAAAACCAAGGACAAGACATCAGACCTGACCTCATTAAGACTTGGCTAATTTGCATAGGAACTACTTTTGACCTATGACCCAGTGGTAAACCTTTTCACTGACAATTGTATTATTGTTTAAGGTGTTATTAATTGATTCCAAACAGGAACATAAGACAAGACATATTAAAATAGATTGCTTTTCCCGAACATTTTACTATTTGTATATTTTGTACTTGTTACACACTTGTATTGTACTTGTTACATACCCTCGATGTTTGGAACATAAACAAACATCAGGGTACATCAGCCCATGGGCCAAGAAGGACCAGTGAACAACGTATTTATCTTACCGAACACCTCAATGGTAATTTTGAATTGTTTGAAGCACGGGTACAAATCTTTTGGTAGCCATCGCTAGATTTTGCTGACAAGAAAAACAGATTTAGAGTTATCTCCCTTCCATCGATTTTCATTCAATGGAAGAAACGGTAATTTCCGTACATCATCCGTGATTCAATGTTATTCGAGATAAAGAATTACTACCACGAAGTACCAAATGAGTTGCCATTGACAGCGGGGTACATTGAAATGTTACTCGCTTGTAAGCGGGGTACATTGAAAATAATAGATAAACGCTCAGCCAATCAGAAAGCGCCATTTATGTGTGAGGTAAGATAAAAAGGGATGTACCATGAAAACATACCCCAGACACAAGTTGGTTACATTTGCTATCATTTTTGTAGAGAGAGAGATTCCATCCTCGTCTCTGGTGCGGGTGTCGGAGTTGGAGAAGTGGGTTTCGTGGTCACTGCGGACAGGCTTGCAGGAACTGACCGATACTATGTCCACTGTGATTGGCCAGAATAGTACAACAGAGGTCAGGACCTCCACACCATGTATGGGCATTGAGCTGCTGCATGATGGGAAACTCAAGGTCAGACTATAGTCTTAAACAATTAAAGTTACTTATGTGATGTGAAATCAATAATTAGATGTCATTCTGTCTCTGAAAGTCGTCTGTTATATATTAATGTGAATTAAATTAATTTGTTGTACAGGTGAAGACTGAAGGGGAAGACATCACGGCCGACCACGTCTTTTCTGGTGTCTACTCAAAAAGTATGATCACATTTTAACAGGCTTTTTTTAGATATAAAATCCAAAATACTAAAAGGTGAAAATGAATAAATCTAAACTTTATTTATTTTGCAGACCAAAAATATGTGAAATGTTTGAAAAAAAAAAAAATTTACTGATTCCATCAATATCATTAAAATATCTTTATGTACTATAAATAAAAAATTCATATTAACAGTTACTTTACAGTTTGAGGAAATTTCATATGTATGTTTTTTTATCAACCTACTGACCTCTATTTGGGGGCTAAACTTGTAACCGATCCTGCATACAATCTAACTAAGATCGGTGTCAGGTTGTTAGGTTGTCGGGCCAACAGTGTGGGAATATTATCAGTAATGTAATGCATAGTTGGGTAATGCTTTCAAAGGATGTCTAGAGTCAGAGTGATGACAGTGGATAATTGTCAAGATAACTAAACTGTTTTAGCAATTTTGTATACTTGGTGAAGGTCCAAAATCAATTATGGCATTTCTTTGTATATTCAAAGATAAGTGAACTCCACCACCCCTTTGAAAAAGGACTGATCTTTTTGCTGTCAGTTTGATCGTTAAATATGTGGATGTGTTTAGGTAAGAATATTTTCTGGAGCCACTCCCATCTCAACATATTTTGTTCCAGTCCAATATGATTATCGAAGACACGCTACTTCCTATTATTTCCAGATTTGGGAAGCTTGCTCCCTGCCAGTCCTTTGAAGGATAACTTGATGGAGATTCCTGCCGTCTCGGTTGTTGTCATCAACATGGAGTACGAGGGACTGCAACTCCCGTATGAGGTAAGACCCAACACCAAGCTCCTCACTGTGGTACATCTTTCCTAGAGTCCAGACCCTTCAGAATATATTGCAATAGGAGTCCATCTCAAGTCTAGATTGATTGGACAAGTCTAGTTTATTTGTTATTAACTCAACACTCCGCAATATTGCAGCCCTGTGATGGAGATATTTACATAAGTCTGGACAAGATAATCAGGTGATTGCAAACATAAGCATTGATACATTAGGAATATGATGACTAGCTAGTGCGACCACCAGATCCCTTTCACTGCTTCTTACGACAAGTGTGGGCATCTGAATTCCCATTCTAGCCGGTACTGTAAAGGTGTTTTTAGTTATTAGGCTGGTAAAAGCTGGATACTCTGGAATCTGTCTATTACGGACAGGCCTGGGACCAACTCATTTGTCCGGATTATAAAGCAGTCCGGATTAGTCAATATTTGTCTGTTACATGATGAGTTACCACCCTTTGTTAAAGACAACAGTAATTTTCCTTAAAATGTTAAAAAAAAATTCGCTGGTAAGGGAACGTGTGCACAGCATGGAACTCTGGGTAGGAGATTGTGTGCATAGCCGAGTGCTATTTCCAGCTCTGTATACAAGACAAATACACACAGTACTCTTAATCCCTGTATATAAGACAAATTAGAACTGAATAGGTAAATTGTTGAAGTAAACTGTAGTTATATTGCTTTGTGGATATTGTACGTACGCATCAGTCACTTTGCTCATTTGTTTTTAGCGGTATGTAAAATACAAAAACAATTAACTCCCTTTTATCTTCCGGAAGTACATGTACCTGTACATGTGTTCCCATGCTCAGTTCAAATGTAACCGCCGATGTGCGAAGAAGGTCTATTAAAACTTTTAACCCCAACTTGGATGCCTCTGTCGTTCATGAGTAAGAAGCACGATGTCAACATAAATAATCTTGTCTGGTGATGTTTAATTGCAAATTTGACATCTTTACTGACAAAGTAGTCTTCTCATGTTTGTTACGTCCGGATTACAAAGCATTGTTGATTGTTGGGACTGTTATTTTAGTCCGTAATCCGTAATTGAGAGATTCTGGACTATCAAGCAAGCTTTAATGATAAATCAAGATCAATTTTGCCGGGACTCGGAGTAGTCCGGGTTATGGAGAAAACCGGTTTACAAAGAGTCCAGATTTGACACATTCCACTGTACTTCTTTGCAGACTGAATTTCTGCTTTATTCTTCCAGGGTTTCGGTCACCTCCTTCCATCCTTCGAGAGTGGTCCAGTACTAGGTGTGATCTATGATTCCTGTACCTTCCCTGAACATAACAGGGGTGACATGACCGACAGCACACGTGTCACGGTGAGTAAAATATACACACCTTCATGGTTAACTGGAGAAGGAACATGATGCCCTCAACTGACGTCATAGTAGTAATTATATGATGTGTCATTTGACTGTTCTATTGTTACGGTATTTATGTATAATCAATGTTGTGATGTTGGGAAGAGCTTTGTGTTCAATGATCCATCACAGTAATTAGTACTTGAACCTTCCCATTTTACTGGGATCCAAGAACTGTTCTATTGTTATTTATGTATATCCATGTTGTTGTAGGTTATGTTGGGCGGAGCTTGGTTTGACGATCTGGTGAAGCTAACCAATCTAGATGAATCTCACTTAAAGCAAATTGCACATGATGCTTTGAAGACACAACTTGGCATCACGGAGAAACCTATACGTACATACGTCACATTGCAGAAGGTGGGTACCTGTAAGGAAGTAGGCAATGTGGAGAAGCCCATATGTATAAACATCGTGCTGCAGAAGGTGGGTACTTGTAAGGAAGTAGGCAATGTGGAGAAGCCTATATGTATAAACATCGCGCTGCAGAAGGTGGGTACTTGTAAGGAAGTAGGCAACGTGGAGAAGCCTATATGTATAAACATCGCGCTGCAGAAGGTGGGTACTTGTAAGGAAGTAGGCAACGTGGAGAAGCCTATATGTATAAACCATCGCTGCAGAAGGTGGGTACTTGTAAGGAAGTAGGCAACGTGGAGAAGCCTATATGTATAAACGTCGCTGCTGCAGAAGGTGGGTTCTTGTAAGGAAGTAGGCAACGTGGAGAAGCCTATATATAAACGTCGCGCTGCAGAAGGTGGGTTCTTGTAAGGAAGTAGGCAACGTGGAGAAGCCTATATGTATAAACATCACGCTGCAGAAGGTGGGTACTTGTAAGGAAGTAGGCAATGTGGAGAAGCCTATATGTATAAACATCGCTGCAGAAGGTGGGTACTTGTAAGGAAGTAGGCAACGGGAGAAGTCTATAACGTATAATACATCGCCGTGGCTGCAGAAGGTGGGTTCTTGTAAGGAAGTAGGCAACGTGGAGAAGCCTATATATAAAAAACGTCGCTACTGCAGAAGGTGGGTTCTTGTAAGGAAGTAGGCAACGTGGAGAAGCCTATATGTATAAACGTCACGCTGCAGAAGGTGGGTACTTGTAAGGAAGTAGGCAATGTGGAGAAGCCCATATGTATAAACATCGGTACTGCAGAAGGTGGGTACTTGTAAGGAAGTAGGCAACGGGAGAAGCCCATATGTATAAACGCGGAGAAGCCTACTGCAGAAGGTGGGTACTTGTAAGAAGTAGGCAACGTGGAGAAGCCTATATGTATAAACGCCGCTACCTATATGTATAAAACGCAGAAGGTGGGTTCTTGTAAGGAAGTAGGCAACGTGGAGAAGCCTATATATATAAACGCGTCTACTGCAGAAGGTGGGTTCTTGTAAGGAAGTAGGCAACGGGAGAAGCCTATATGTATAAACGCCACGCTTCTGCAGAAGGTGGGTACTTGTAAGGAAGTAGGCAATGTGGAGAAGCCCATATGTATAAACATCGCGCTGCAGAAGGTGGGTACTTGTAAGGAAGTAGGCAACGTGGAGAAGCCCATATGTATAAACGTCACGCTGCAGAAGGTGGGTACTTGTAAGGAAGTAGGCAATGTGGAGAAGTCTATATGTATAAACATCGCGCTGCAGAAGGTGGGTACTTGTAAGAAGTAGGCAAATGTGGAGAAGCCCATATGTATAAACGTCACGCTGCAGAAGGTGGGTACTTGTAAGGAAGTAGGCAATGTGGAGAAGTCTATATGTATAAACATCGCGCTGCAGAAGGTGGGTACTTGTAAGGAAGTAGGCAATGTGGAGAAGCCTATATGTATAAACGACGCGCTGCAGAAGGTGGGTACTTGTAAGGAAGTAGGCAATGTGGAGAAGTCTATATGTATAAACATCGAAGGTAGGGTTCTTGTAAGGAAGTAGGTAATGTGGAGAAGTCTATATGTATAAACATCGCTGCTGCAGAAGGTTGTGAGAAGTTGCAATGCACGAGGTGGGTAGTTTTGCGTTGTTAGTTATTATGGGAATGTTTTGCTGCAGGATGTGGATAGGTTCGGAAATACATTTCTGATATCAAATCTTCTGACTATAAATTGGGATCATGTTCATGTTTTATAGGACTGTATTCCCCAGTACATCCTTGGCCACAACAAGCGACTGTCATCTATGGACAAATACCTGGCCGACACAAAGCTTCCCCTGAGTCTCATTGGTTCATCATATCGAGGTCCGAGCGTTAACGACTGTATATACAACACTCGGCTAACTGTGGAGAAAGTATGCAACTCATGATACATATTAAAGTACACAAGATGTATGGTTCATTTTAGATGATAGAAGTTTTCTACTACTTATATTTTTGATATACTGAGTATTTTCTATTTATGTACATTGAAAATGCAAGGTTGAACATAGAATAGTAGGAGCTTTCACTGGTGAACGTTTTAATAACAACGATGTTCTGGTTATGTCATTTGTGTAGCTAAATAATGAAAAATGATTTCTGGTATTGTTCATCTTTGTATTTAACAGTTTAATATAATCCAAAAATAATATACATGACATTGTTTGAAAGACTTGCTTCTTTCTTTGAGCAAAATAAAATTTATCCAAGTTGACAACTGTTTGTTTTATGGTGTCATGCTTATTGAGTCTTTACCAGAATATTACATCTTAACATTTAGTTTACTTGATTTAAAGTTGAGCCCGATGTCCGTGTGGTAGCCTAGTGGTTAAAGTGGTCACTCTGGGGTTGGATTACCCACATGCGTACAATGTGTGACCCATTTCTGGTGTTCCTCTGTCACGATACTGGTAAAAGTGGTCACTGGGGGGTTTAATTACCCACCTGCGAACAATGTGTGACCCCATTTCTGGTGTTCCTCTGTCAGGATACTGGTAAAAGTGGTCACTGGGGGGTTTAATTACCCACCTGCGAACAATGTGTGACCCCATTTCTGGTGTTCCTCTGTCAGGATACTGGTAAAAGTGGTCACTGGGGGGTTTAATTACCCACCTGCGAACAATGTGTGACCCCATTTCTGGTGTTCCTCTGTCACGATACTGGTAAAAGTGGTCACTGGGGGGTTTAATTACCCACCTGCGAACAATGTGTGACCCCATTTCTGGTGTTCCTCTGTCACGATACTGGTAAAAGTGGTCACTGGGGGGTTTAATTACCCACCTGCGAACAATGTGTGACCCCATTTCTGGTGTTCCTCTGTCACGATACTGGTAAAAGTGGTCACTGGGGGGTTTAATTACCCACCTGCGAACAATGTGTGACCCCATTTCTGGTGTTCCTCTGTCACGATACTGGTAAAAGTGGTCACTGGGGGGTTTAATTACCCACCTGCGAACAATGTGTGACCCCATTTCTGGTGTTCCTCTGTCAGGATACTGGTAAAAGTGGTCACTGGGGGGTTTAATTACCCACCTGCGAACAATGTGTGACCCCATTTCTGGTGTTCCTCTGTCAGGATACTGGTAAAAGTGGTCACTGGGGGGTTTAATTACCCACCTGCGTACAATGTGTGACCCCATTTCTGGTGTTCCTCTGTCACGATACTGGTAAAAGTGGTCACTGGGGGGTTTAATTACCCACCTGCGAACAATGTGTGACCCCATTTCTGGTGTTCCTCTGTCACGATACTGGTAAAAGTGGCGTACAACCACTCACTACAGTATACATTTTCCACTTATGTAAATCGTGGATCTTTGACTATGGTCACTAGCACTTACTGCTTAAAGAAACATGCTAGAAGTCCAGCCTCTGATATGTCCACTTACACTCCACTGACATTTATATCCTACTCCTACATGCTACCTTCATCATAAATGTGATGGCTGACAATCTGTACGAACCATGTGTAAACTGTAGTGATTGTTGTAAGCATAGGAACACACAATAACATCACAAAAATGTAAATTCATTTATTCACAAGGACAAGAATTACAAGAACAGACATGAACATGATTGAATAACTTGATGGTTCAGACATTTTACATGTAACCATGGCAACAATATCAGCTCTATGACAACTACAGTTTCTGTAGATAATGGCTGACACTGATAATTTATCATTCCACAGACCTGCATGTTCAGGGTTGGGGGTACTGGGGGTGAGCAGGTGAGTGAAGTACCTGTGATGACCACGCCTCCTCAGAAACTCTTCCCTGAACCCTGAACAATATCTATCTTATAATTCCAGGTATCATTTACTCCCCATGAATTCTGAATAGTACCTCAGACAATTCCCAAAAGCACGTCAGAATTCACTCTATAATGCCAGAATATTGGTCACACCCGAAAACCTATAAAACATGTTCCTTAGTAAAAATATTGAAGATTTCACATTACTGATTAAATATATAAAATATATAATATTCCAAGGAAACTTTTATTTACACAAATGATGAGTCTGCACATATACATTTTTATCTGCATCTCACAAATCACACAAGGGGATTTCAATTCCATCTCAGTAATCTAAATATATCCCAGAATCCTGCATACCAAATGTTCTGCAAGGTGTATAAGTTTCATGATATCAACCATATAACATATGCACAGGTCCTTTGAAACCAATGAAAGTTATTCCACTAAAATGCTGTGCTTCATTTTTAAGTCATAACAAGTTTATGTATGTGTTGCATGCATTCCAGCAGTATGGTAGGAAAAGATAATTCACTGGGTAATAGGCCGAGTATTAACTTTGTGAAAACATTCATTTACTATCTGCAGCAGTGAAGCCAGAATCCCTCAATTAGTGATGATAAATGTGTTTGAACATATGAATGGTAAGACATTAACTGAATTCTAAGGACCTGCAATCACAAATTAACTGTTCCACTGTGTTATTTGAGGTTCAAATAACATCAGCAAGAAAAAGTCCCACAACAAGAAATATATTCCCTATGAAAAATACTCAAGTTATAGTCAAATAATGATTTTTACAGTTATAATGAAATGATTTCAGTGAACAACGTTCATGTACATTTAGGGGCAACAAGTTCACTTTTTTCCTTCCACCATTATGACGTGATAACCGTGTTTGGTTTTCACTGGGGGGTCTGTATAGATGGGTTTGTCCACGCTGCTGTTGGGGAGTTGGAAGGCAGCTTCCTGGAACGGCCCAACCATGGACCCCCTGGTCATCCAGCCCAGGTCACCCTGAAGACAAATACACACCTGATATATAAATCTTGATACACTGGATCACTCTTGCACATCCATCCTTGTATCCATACACGCTCACACATACATATCCATCCATACATATACCCATACACGATAACATACATCCAGCAACCTACCCCTGATCTCGCCTTGTCTTCACTGTATTGAGCTGCAACTTCACTGAACTTCATGCCACCTTTAATCTTCTCAATGGCTTCCAGAGCCTTGGACTGCTTCTCACAGAGAATGTGACGCACCTGGACAGGAATAAGAAGAAAATGTCTGTCAGTGAGTATGGTTAGTGTTTGTTGTTAAATGCCACCTTCAGTCTGGGCCATGCTATTCAGTGATTGACATCATTATCAAAGATCAATGCTATTTGGTAGTTTGGAGCCAAATTACCTGATCTTGTAAGTTCCCTTTACGACAGATATTCCTGAATAATCCAGATGCGGGAAGGAGAGTGAATGAGAGAGTCAGTTTAGTTTTACGGGCACACTCTTCCAGCTATATGGTGGAGGTCTGTAAATAATTGAGTCTGGACCAGACAATCCAGTGATCAACAGTACGAGCATTGTTCCACGCAATTGGGATACAATGACTTCTGTCAACCAAGTCAGCGAGTCTGACCACCCGATCCCGTTAGTCGACTCTTACAACAAGCATAGGTTACTGAAGATCAATCACAGGTCGTTAACCCTCACTCACAGGTCGTGAGTGAGGGAGGGAGGGGGGCCTACAGCTGTAGTACACATATTGAAACATTTATAATCCCAATGGTTATAACTAAGGAACAAAACATTCAGCACAAAACGGAGGAGGTGACTAATTTCAGTTAATGTCATAGTCCAAATTCCAGCTATAACAGTGGATAACAAATACCTTTCTCTGTTGAGCAAGCAAGCTAGAGACTAAAGTCATGAGCATCAAATCCACACCATCACAATAACCATGGTAACACACATTCCAGCAGTCACAGAGCCTGACTCCTTTGTCCAATACCCTGGAAATGACCCATGATGGGCACTGGACTCCTGGCTCTCCAAGGGAAATACAGTCAAGAAATCTCCATAAGATATTCAGTAGCCTTGATATATATCTTGTTTGTTGTTATGTGTGTAACAATTAATCCAGTACACATTATTATGGACAACTTTCCAGATTGTTGTGGAGGAAGTGGACATTCTCCACCAGAGAGTTGTACCCACACATTTTTCGCAAACTTGTACCCAAATGTTGGACAACCCATACCCAGTCGTACCTAAACAACTGGATGACTCATACTCAAAACAGCCCAGTGAACACTCAGATGTTAAGGAATTTTGCCATTTAATATGATCCATGCTGGTTAATGCAATCTGGTTTTGGCCATAATTAAATAAATACGGTGTTAAGTACGCGAAGGAACATTAATTCATTTGTGCTAAGCTTAAGTTTTAGTGATAACTTGGTGATACGCACCTTGACAGCAGTGCCTCCTTTTACTTGTTTAGCCTCTTTGGCACCACCTTCAGCTCCTTTCGATCCTCCTTTGGCACCTCCTCCCCCTTTGGCACCTGCTCCCCCTTTAGCCCCTGCTCCACCTTTTGCTCCGCCCCCGCCTTTGTTTTTGGGCATAGCGTTGAATCAGCTGGCGTTATCACTTATATGTTTTGACTGTTGTGATCTATGTGATTGCAACACGTGTGGAAAACGGAAGTGGTTCATTCAGTTTACATTTGTAACACGGGTTGCTATTGGTCTAATCCTTCATTTCAGCCAATCAATGTTCTGTTTAGTAAAATATCGAAGGAAACAAAATAGTCAACATGGCTGCAAGTTTGCAGGTTTGGAAAGTTTGCAAATGAGAAATCCTTGTATTGTTTGAAATATTTGCCTGTTTGTTGATAACAGCGATGGAGGAAGACAGTTATATGCCGGCACTTCCGCCAGGTACGTAAGAAATATTACTTCGCACCGAATAAAGTTCCTTATAAATATTTTGGGGCAGTCTGAAATCATCCCGGAGGATGTTTACTGTCATTTCTTCGTGAAACAATGAACTTGATCCGAGTGTAAGGATTACTCAAATTACATGGGGTCAATTCGTTAGAAGAGACAGCTAGCGCCAAACACTTACGCACAACTGACACTAGGAGTCGCGAAGGGATGTTTGATTGGCAAGGGGTTACTGTTGGGAGTCATGCAACCACAGGACGCTGTAACTAGTGTAAGTAATATTCCATAGCAACAAAATCGCAGATGATCGATAAGAACTAAACGATGTAGGTTTATTTACAGTTTCACAAACGCAGAAATATGAGAAAACTACACTCTAATGATATGCATAATTTCAAAATCAAATAGTTGAAACCCATACTATGATATGAATAAAGATCATGTAAATGGGCATACGTTGTGGAAATAGGTGGAAAGAAATTAGAAAATGATGCAAATAGTGACTTGATGCTGAAAGATCACACATAGCTGTATTTACACCCCATTCTGCTAATGATAATGTGTTTTCAGAACTTGAGAGTAGTGCACTTTACCACTAATACCAGGCATGCATTTTCAGACCCAGTTAGTGCTGCATGGGCTCAAGAGTGCTGATAACTTACAGGAGCACATGTTCTGTCTGCGCCCGGTAAACTGCACTCTAGCCCAGAAGTTATTTGCTGAAGCTATGTTTTGAAGCCATTGTTGATCTATGATTCCAGGACACAAACAGAGAAAAAAACAGTTATTCCTCAAGTGATGGAGAAGAGGAAGCTATCAGGCCAAGCTTGCCTTCTCACATGAGGAAAAGAAAACATACTGATGTTGATGATGGGACAGGAACCCCATCAACCATGGGACCAGTATTGCCACCACACTTAAAAGTCAGGAAAGAAACAGACATATCTGGGCCAGCTGATCATCATGAAACTGATATAATAGGCCCGGTTCTTCCTCCTCACCTTCTGAAATCCAAATGTTCAGAAGATGTCAATATCGGTCCAGTCATACCATCCTCAAATTATGTAGCGAACAGTGACAGTAGTGAGGATGAAGAGGCGAGAGATGAAATAGGCCCAGCTCTTCCTCCAGGTTTTAAGAATAGAAGTGTCTCCAATCATGATGATCAAGCATCGATTGGTCCCATGTTGCCTCCTGGTTTTAAGAAACAAACAGTTGATGATGAGGACGATTCATTTGGTCCAGCCTTTCCACCGGGGTTTAAACCTGTTCATCTGTCAGCAGCTGGGTTTAATGAGGATGTGATCGGACCTCTACCATCTGAAATGATGACAGGTGATTTGACTAAAGCAGCAGCCGCTGAGATTGAACAGAGGGCGCAGAAGATGAAGGAGAAGCTGACAGATGCTGTACGTTCAGTTTGGTGTGGAATATTCATATGCATGTTGAACTTAAAGCCTTTGAAATTCATATCAGTTTGCTTGGCTGAGGCTACTAAAGGACAAGTAAAAACACCAGTGATTTTTTTCCTGATTGATTTGTAGCATTTGAGGGCAATATTTCTGAACCTGTTCTGAATCTTTCAATTATGCCACAAATTGTAGTACAACTGACAGAGAATGTAGTCATAGTAACCATAGTAAACAGTTTTTTGTCTTGTCAAAGCTAGAAACTTTGAGGGCTAACTCCAGCTTTACTTGACATAGAAGATTACTTTGTAGTAAACATGGTAAACTCAGTCAGTATATTGTGGTCGTTGTTAAATTGTTAATGTATAATATGGACACTCTGCTATTCTTTAGATACAGATAACATATTGATCTTTTAGATTTTGAATTTTGAATTAATCCATTGGGGAAGGTTTATGATTGCTGTAAACATGGTAAATTGATATCTATTTTAGTTCTTGTTAGATATTTCATCCTCTGATGATAGGAATGCTTTACATTGGAATTACCTCCCTTTGTAAATTTAGAAGAGCAACTACCAAGCAAAAGACCACCATGTGGACCATTTGAAAATTATACATATAATCAATAAGTTCTTTAGGTGAGGTGAGGTGAAACTGGGTTTTACGTCATGCTTGAGAATATTTCGCTCATATGACGACATGCGTGTGTATGTGTATGTGCGGCTGCTTGTACTAGCCGACTTAAGCTCGTTTTATAGTGCTAGCCCACTGAGATACCATGCCGCAGTGAAGCATGAATACCCCACTCAGACACATTATACTGACTCCCAGCCGACCAGTCCTTGTTGTACCCATTAATGCCGAGCTCCAGGCAGAGACCAACAAGTACCATATTTTAACGTCTTTTGGTATGACGCGGTCGGGCATCGAACCCGCGACCTTCCGCTCTCCGGGCGGACGCTCTAACCACTACACCACAGAGGCGGTCAATAAGTTCTTGAAGTTATATACACAATCCATTAATTAATCAAATTGTATGCATAGTGCATTAGTTCATGAAATTGTAATTTGTATGCATAATTCATTAATTTATGAAAGTTTTGATTGTTAAATTATTGTTTATCTCTGCAATATTCAAGCTACATGACAATCCAGTGATCGACAGCATGAGTATTGATCTACACAGCTGGGATACAATGTCATGTGTCCAAACAAGTCATTGAGCTTGACCACTCGATCCTGTTAGTCACTTCTTACAACAAGCATGTGCTCCTGAAGAGCAATACTAACCCAGATCTTCACGGCCAATTCATAAACTGGATTTCCTTGGTTTCCATAATGAGCCCAAAGGCCCCCTTTCATGCTACCGATATGGCTGAAATATTGCCGATGTGACGTTAAATAATAACTCACTCACTCACTTTCATGCTACATTTGTAAATTGTTTAGTAGAAACTTATATAAAAAATACGTGGTGGTGTGTGTGTAGGATAGCCTAATGAGCTCAGTGTGTGAAGCCTATTTCTGGAGTTCCCCACTCTCTCACTGATGAATATGTTTCAGCCCGGTAAAGACGCTCCGAAGGAGAGGGAAGCCTGGATGACAGAGCTCCCAACTGAAATGAAAAAGAATTTTGGTTTAACAGCTCGGACTTTCAGGACACGAGTTATTCCTGAGAAAGACAAGGATGCATCTGTGTGGACGGACACACCAGCTGACAAGGCCAGAAAGGAAAAGGTAACATCATCCAATGTCATAGTGAAACCAAGGTGAATGCTTTCTTATATAGTGAACGATAGATCTTTACACATGACGTACACCCCCTTTACCATGAAACTACCACATCCCAAATCATGGTCAAGACTTGTTGCTCTAGCAAACCTGTACACCTCAAATATAACTGCATTCAAATCATAACCTGTTATTTTTTGTTGGTGGTATATATAAGTTTATGGGCTTTATATATAAAGGTTTTCCTGAGCTTATATACATGTAGGTTTACCTGAGCTAAGGTATATTTGTATATGTGGTACTTCTATTGTAAACATTCACAAACGTTTTTCCATGTTGCTCAACGGTTCATGGATGAATCCAGATATATTGTCTTTATGAACCATAAGTTTCATCTAACATGTTTATGTCATTTATGTGTTGACTGCATATCACGAGTATACTCATATTATCAATTATAGCCACGAGATTACTCGTAGTGGCGAATTCTTCCAGAACTGATAATACGAGTGTGCTCGTGGTGGCACTCAAAGTGTTAAACCATACATACTGTCTTCAACACTGCTTATGTTACAGACCTGGAAGATTGGCTTATACTTGCAGCACATAATTTTATATCAAGGGAAATATAGTGAAAACTCCAGCAGGAGTCAGGAGTAAGAAGTGATTGGCCTCGCAACTTGTATATTATTGGAGCCAAGTTGTGTGAAATTTTCACTGTTAATGAAGGAATAAAGGAACAAAATGCCTTACCCCTCTGAGTGTCTTCACACTAATACTTAGGGGTGGGTATTGCAGAGAATTTTCATGTTGCGATATATTGCAATGCGAAAGCATGTATTGCGATATGTATTGCAATCTATTGCATGAAGTATTCTTTAAACAAAAAACTACTTATAATCGAGGTAATGCTTGATTTATAGAGCAAATACACAGCAAAATAACTGTGCTTCATTAAGCTTTAATAACAACTTTTATGCGTGATTAAAAATAAAAATGTGAATAATATTTGGCACAAATGAAAACAGAAATATCCGAAGATTTCTGAGTGTTATGAAGTTTTCCGAATGCAAGTCAAAATACTGGATTTGTGAATTTTGGTTAATAATTATCATATTTGTATATTTTGTCATCAGGAAGCAAGAGAGAAGTATGAGAGAAGAGGATCATCTCAAGATACAGCCCAGCCATCATCGTCCAGTAAAGATAAGGCCCATGCCAAGGCTGTCCATAAACACAACGTAGGTTTCTGAGTATATGTAGACAAGGAAGTAGGGAGCATGTGTTTTTTAAAAAAACTCTTGAATAAAAGTTCAAAATATTAATTTGAATTTTGAAGTATATTTCAAAGCAGGCCGTGAATGTATGGCTGACACTGTATATTGCAATGTTATGTATGGCTGCTTTATGTATGAAAAACTGGAGAACGTATGATGCAAAACAAATTTCCCTTGGGACAATACAGAATTATCTTATCTTATCTTATAAGAATGTTCAGTCGATCGGTTGACACGTGTGTTGTGTAATGTATGGATGAGTGCTGGAGGGGTGAGGTATAGTGTGATATATTGTTTAATGACAATAACAGTGTGACTCCATGGTTACAGTCAAGTTGCTATTGTTCATATTTCTTTTGAACTATGCGTGTATTCGTTTGGCTTTTAGATGTCGGAGTAAACATGAAACTTCAGTGTATGCATGATCTGTTTGTTTCATATATATATCTAATATTGTTTTGTGAGGGCTCAGGTAAAACAATTCCCAATCAGACATTTTAAGGCTTACAGGTATATAGGTGAGGTAACAGGACCTCGGGTATTCAGGTACTATGTTGGCTTCACCCTAGCCCTAGTATGTATATGTATCATGAAACTACCTCTTGTGTCGGAAAGAGTTGTGTATATATATGCTCTTATTCTTTTTCCAGAAGTCAAAAAGGCCCGACTCATTGCTAGAAATGCACCAGAAAAAAATGAAAAAGAAAAAGGTAAAATATGACCAAGACTTCAGCACTTGTTTTCAGAACCACCTGGAGAATTGCATGTCGAGTGTTTCAATTGTTTTAGGTGTTTGTGAAAGGTTGTATGAAACAGTACGGTCCATTATGTGTCTTTCAAGAGTTACTTCCCTTTTCGTAACGGTCATATCTGGACTTACTCAGATAAAACAGTTTGAACATCCACCTTATCAATGAGTGAAAACAATCACCCATTTTTTTTTTGTCCTCTCTTCCCTAGAACACACCACCCTCAGCTTAGAGCACCTCCTCCCCCACACTAGAACAACAGCTAACAGCTAACCCAAGAACACCTTCACTCTAGAACGAACGACCCCAACCCCACCCAAGCACTCTCTCTTTACAAAACCCCATCCCTTTAGACATATTAACCAGTGTATCTTGATTGTGTTTATTTTTAAATCAGACCGAATTCCCTAAACGCATCAGGGTTACAAGTGGTACTACAAGACATTACATTCCGTGGTTCATATTAAAGCTGATCTATGTCCAGTCTTCCTTAATGTCATATTTACTAAATGATACTTGAGCCTTTCCAACATGCCCTGAAACACTAACAATTAAAACTCTTAAACAAGTCTGCAGTAGATTAAAGAGATCCTTTTAGCTCCAATTTGTTTTGTATGAAAAGACAATATAAGCCACCCAATTTATTAATCCATATGTTTTAGCGTACAAAGGGAGATAATCCATATGTTTTAGCATACAAAGGGAGATAATCCATATGTTTGTGTTCACAGAAGAAAGACAAAGAAAAAGACAAAGACAAACCAAAGGAGAGACGACCTTTCGACCGGGACTCTGACCTCCAGGTCAACAGATTTGATAATGCACAGAGAAATGCAATCATAAAAAAATCTCAACAACTGAACACTCGTTTCTCACATGGGGGCTCCACTTCTTCTTTCCTCTGAGGATACTTTGGCCATGTTCATTATATACTTGGTATCCACATTGTCCAGGAAAGATTGAAAAAAGCCAACACAAAATGTGTTCGAGAATAAAAAAGGACTTAGCCAAAATCAATGTGTGTGGTATATATCTCACACATCCTATGTTATTGATGACGTAATACAGCTGTCATTGGAAATGACTTGTGCAATCTTCCACAACAGATCAACAGATGGTGTCTCTCGATACTTTTTTCTGCAGAGAAACTTTCAGCTACGACTAATTTTGAAATATGTGGAAGTTATAACTTCAACCATGGCTGTATCAGACTAATTTTACACAAATAGCAGAATTCATGTACAGTGCACCCTGGTTATACTGCCACCCTGGTTATACTGCCACCCTGGTTATACTGCCACCCTGGATATAATGCCACCCTGGTTATACTGCCACCCTGGTTATAATGCCATATGCCAATGGGTTTTGGAACAAAAAGTAATTTTCCCCTGGTTATAATGCCAATTGCACTGGCGGCATGTAGTATACATACCTTAATTGGTTAATTGACATGACTCAAATTAATTGACCAAACTCATTAATGCTTTAAGTAGTCTTGTAATCCCAGATAGGATGACACATGTGACAATACACTTCCTGCCACCTACAAGAAGAAGTCACCTGCAGCCCCTAGATGCTTGGATTTTCCAGTCATTCAAGGCTCATTACAGGAGACATCAGCTCAATCTCATTGTTGATTGCATAGACCGTTAACTGTCCTACCTGGTTATAATGCCACCCTGGATATAATGCCATGTTTTCTCCTGGACGAATGGTGGCATTATAACCAGGGTATACTGTACATCATTTACATAGGTAGTCCAAACATTTGGACATGTCTCATCAAACCATCATTATAAATGTTCAGTGTAGCTATCACTCTGTACTTCCTGTAAATAAAGAATGAAGTTGTGTAAAGCATACTGGTGTATTTCAAGGACCACTATACTAAGTCAATACTGCATTGCTTCCCCTTGCCAGTCTAGGATTGGAGTATCTGTGTATGAAAAATGTCATTGTGATGAATCTGGGATTAAGGGACAGACTGGCACATATTAGAGTTCCAATTGTAATATTCTTAGATTACTCTGGTGTTTCGATTCCACATGAAAAATTATGATGTGATATTGCTAAATGTGGGGTAAAAACATGCTCTCACTCACTCACTCACTCACTCACTCACTCACTCACTCACTCACTCACTCAATCTTGTTACTTATGGAGACTTTCTCATTTGCTGTGTGATATTTTTCAGCTCAAACAAATGTATACATGTAAATTACTATTTTGTGTAACTAATATAAAGTGTGAGTATTAAGGTGTCAGTGTGAGATATTACATGTAAGTCTGGAAATGTGATGGGGTGTTTGTAACATATTCCTTGTGAGTGTGTTACATATTACATGGGGCGGGGTTTAATACTTGGGAGTGTGACATATATACTATGAGATGGTACATGTCAGAGTGATATGCCACACTTTACATTAGAGTGTGTAAAAAATTAAATTTGAATGTGTGAAGTTTGTCTTTGGAGTTTTATGTGTGTAATGTGTGAGGTGTTACATGTTGGTGAGTTAATTATTACATATGAATGTGGAATACAGCATGTCTGAGATATTACATGTGTGTAGAATATTAAATGTGAGTGTGTGCAATATTACGTGTCAGGGAGTAACATGTATATCAATCCTGAATATGTGAAATTTGATAAAGGATGTGTGTAGTAATATATTTGAGTTTGTGAAATTTTACATGTGTGAAAAATGTTGAATAAGTCCCAAGACATTTCACGTATAGTATGAGATACTCAATTTGACGTACTTAATGTCATTAATTGAAATACGCGCTATCTATAATTTCAAATATTTATGAAGGATCTATACCAACTACTGCCATCAATGCTATTTTGTTTTCAATGTTAACAATTTTCATGTTTATCGATGTAACTTCATCTTCATCTGACCAGAGTAGATCAACTTGCCGCATGATAAATTGACGTCACTATCTCATTTGAATAAGATCTTCCAACAATGCTAGTTTCCCATTGGACCGTAGAGACATGAGCTCCACAGAAACTAGGATGCACGTGAGTTCATGCAATGTCGGGCTCTCAGTTTGTTAGTCGCCAGTTTATAACGTTCAGCTTCTTCAACAAACGACAGAGGGAACGGTCCTGAAACCTTTGAAAGTATTTAGAAATCATATACGAAAACACAAGAAACGACCAAGAGAAAAACATACCTATTGCGAAATATATTTTATTGCCGATCAACTGGACTTGAAAAGATATATCTTTGGTACATTCCTTTAAAAGGTACCGAATGATGAATGTAACAGTAGAAACAGCAGGAAATAGTTCAATGTCGAGAGGGATGGTGTTTATGCAGGCTATTCTCATGATGGGCACGTAAATACTTTCGGGGTAAAATTAGAAATTTATAGTGAAACGTGTCAGCATGTTGCTGTACGTTTTAGCGGTAAAAACAAGACTGAAAGTAACTGTTGTTTTAAACTCAAACTTTTTTTTACATATGTCGTCTATCTGGAACAAGACTTATATATCGACATATCTCGGTCAGCCGTCCTACACTTTTAAGCTATGTATCCCAATACAAATATTAAATATCAGATGGTGTGACCACTTTTATTGAATATCGCCAGCCTTTCTTTATAGAAAGCATGCACATAACATCAGAGTGAGTGAGTTGGATTTTATGTCGCTTTTAGCAATATTAAAAACTTCAAAACACCGCAAATTTTGACGAAATGTTAATTTTTACTTATTTAATAGAACTTTAATGTTTTTAATCTATTTGTTGCAAATACAATCCCGTGATGGTGAAAGTAACAGTTTTAAAAACTTGCAGCCCACAAGTGTTAGGTATAACGGTAAACGTTGTTGAATAGAACAATTGCTGACTAATGCAAGTGTGTCAGGTAATATAATATTAAGGTCGAAGAAAAACATTTAAATTTCTAATTAATAAGTTAAAAATAACATTTCGTCAACAGGGGCTTGTATTGCTGAAAATGATACGTCCTGGGTCCTACAAGCGTACACTGATATCCATATACATATAAAGAAGGATATGTATATGGATATCAGTGTACGCTTGTAGGACCCAGGACGTATTATCAGTGTACGCTTGTAGGACCCAGGACGTATTATTTTCAGCAATACAAGCCCCTGTTGACGAAATGTTATTTTTAACTTATTAATTAGAAATTTAAATGTTTTTCTTCGACCTTAATATTTGTGGCAAATACAATCCCCCATTATTCACATCCCTGTGATGGCGAAATCAACATCAACATATCCAGCATCAAAAACAGAAAAAAAGTACAGAATAGTCACTTAATTCTTCAGCCTACTGAACACGTGCACCGGAAATGATGCATCCGGGGTCTAATTACAGCTCACATATATGTACATAGATGTGCCCATTATGGCTTATTAACCGAACACCTTTATTATATAATTTATCAACCATTAAAATGTAAACACTGGTGTTTGAATATATTCTATCTTTCATATTGTACCATCAGATGTTGCTGGCCAAACAATGCGTTAGGGATGGGTGGCTTCCTTTATATTCTTTCAACATTTGGGGACGGGATTCATGTTTCAGTTCATTCTCTGAAATAATATTTAAGTTAGGACACATATTGATTCCTTGGATTCAAATGAAATGGTGAGCTCTGACACACTTGCATTAGTCAGCAATTGTTCTATTCAACAACGTTTACCGTTATACCTAACACTTGTGGGCTGCCAGTTTTCCTCAACCAGGGAGACTATATAAGGTTGTAGAGTATCCCTGCCTCAACATAGCGGTAGTTTCAACACACGGAGTTGAGTGTATATCTAATCACTCATTGCATACTACAATGTACCGTGCAACAACGAAACTGTTGGAACATGATGTATCATCGTTGTTTACCGGTGAAAAATCATTATAAATAAACGTTTTAGTATAAGTTTATAAAGTCAAAACTTCCCGACTTTGTCTCGTTCGTCGTTCTCTGGGGCCGTTGTTCTCTGAACATTGTTACCAGGACATTAATTTAATATCTAACATTTTAATAATTGCAATCTATGATGAGATACAGAGCTGGCACATTTCAAGAGTGTAACAAGTGAGTGAATCTGGTTTTACGCCACTTTTAGCAATATTACAGCAATATCACAGCGGGGGACACCAGAAATGGGCTTCACACATTATGCCCACGTGGGGAATCGAACCAGGGTTTTTGGCGTGACGAGCCAACAGTTTAACCACTAGGGTACTCACCACCCTCAAGTGGAACAACATTTATCGATTATCATTTTGTGATTGTGTGTGAACTGCATCTTCAGTTAAGTAAAAAATATATTCCAAAGACGTTTACACGTTATCCAAATATTATTGTTTTACTCATGTCATTCTCAAGTTCTACGTTATTACAAAAATATGCATTGTACATACACCCAACAGTATTACTTGAAAAAAAACCGCAATCGAATTACGCTAAACTATGGGCCTATGGCCTCTGGGTTTGCTATGAATAAATAACTTGAGATATAATTTCAGGTCTCTTTTTTAAGTAAAATGAAGTGATTCTGAACTCGAAGAGATCTACTTTCCTCTGAGGATACGAATGCATGTTCTCATTCAGGCGCATACATCTCTGACCACCTTTTCAATACATCTTTTTTCGAAGGAACCTGTCTATGATTTGTAGCTGAAATATGAAAAAAACATTTATTATCAGTTTTATTTGAATATTTACGTTCTTATTCATAAATAATTTATGGCAAAGCTTTCATATTCCGTTTTAATGAGTTACTTGATAATTAAGAACATTTACGTGATTACCAATTCGTGGATATTTGTCAACAGAACTTGACAAAAGTAGAAAAAATATGTTTTATTTTTTGCATGATCGACTCAATTCTCCGGTCGGGCCAGAGAAAAGTGCCAAATACGAAATTCCTGAACACATTTTTACGAACATGTTGAGAAATGGCAACCCTCCCCATGTGCACCCTGAACACCCACTCAAGCCTCGCCTTCTACCGGCTGGAACATCATCAACACAGTTCAAGGTATTTGTCCTTCTTTCACCTCAAGCGTCTGTAATTTAGGTTAACCAAGATCATTA